AGTCATTTTCTCATAGACTTCTATACAACCAGAGGAGTCGCCCCCTGCTGGACACTAGAGAGAATGCAGCTTTAACACATGAAGATTTGACCTCACTTTTCAGTATTGGGTAAATGGAAGTTTTTAGAAAAAGTCAGAGGATCACCAGAGTCGGTATGATTCATCCTCTGGGGAACATGTATGTCTGAACAAAATGTCGTAGCACTCCATCAAATAGTTGCAGAGGTATTTTAGGCCCACGGAGGCTTCCATAGTTTATAAACAGACACAACTTTTTATAGATGGAAGATGTTAGAGAAAAGCTAACAAGCTAAACATCAACATGCTAAAATGCTACGTTAGCATTAAGTTGGTCCTTTAGAGGTTTTTATGACCGTCTATTTGTATATTTTAAGTGTTGGCTACAAACATGACACTGTCGTACCTGCTGAACTACCTTTATAGAAATACTACACTCACAATGTCACTGAGCTTCAGCAGCATGTATGCGTGCTTCATGTTCCCCAGAGGATCTCTCACCATCTACCACATAGATCATCATAACAGTTTGTAGAGACATTCGTGGTTCCCAGAGGATGTATCTCTGACTTTTCTCTACGACATTTGTGGTTTTGAGTTAAATTCTTCTCCGACTATGGGATGGATTGTGATGAAATGTGGTTCATCCTTCGTGTTGATGAATTGTAGATCTTCTAGCGACATCACCAGGTCACAGGTGGCTCCATTAGTTATTACTCGTTCTTCTTTTGGTAGTTTGTTGACCTGAAAGATTGAATTCATAAAGAAAAGTCTTCTCAAACATCTTAATTTCTTTCGGGAGGCGGTGGGTCTTTGTGGGTCTTTGTTGATCTTTGTGGGTCTTTGTGGATCTTTGTGGATCTTTGTTGGTCTTTGTGGGTCTTTGTTGGTCTTTGTGGGTCTTTGTGGATCTTTGTGGATCTTTGTTGGTCTTTGTGGATCTTTGTGGATCTTTGTKGGTCTTTGTKGRTCTTTGTGGGTTTTTGTGGGTCTTTGTGGGTCTTTGTGGGTCTTTGTTGGTCTTTGTGAGTTTTTGTGGATCTTTGTGGGTTTTTGTGGATCTTTGTGGGTCTTTGTTGGTCTTTGTGGATCTTTGTGGATCTTTGTTGGTCTTTGTGGATCTTTGTGGATCTTTGTTGGTCTTTGTGGATCTTTGTGGGTCTTTGTGGATCTTTGTGGATCTTTGTGGGTCTTTGTGTCCGTAATCTGCCCCTGAGGTCAGACGGCCATCTGTGGTCCCAGACAGAGTGCATTATGGGATACGAGTGGATGAGTCATGAATGGATAAATGAACATTATATGTTTAACTAAATGATGTTTTCTTATTCATGAATCCATGTTTTGAGATTATTGTTGAACATTGTCAATAATCCTGTTTAATCTGTTTTCAATTTACATTAATATAATTCATCTTACTTCCTGTTTGACATTTGATCTGTTTTCTTTTCTTCACCCTGTTGATCCATAAAACCTCGACTCTCTTTGTTTTTAGTTCTTCTTTCCAGCGGCGATGCCTTCAGTCTGGGTTCGTCCCAGCGGGTCGTTCCCCTCGGTCCTCCGGTGGATCGTCTCTTCCAGCCCCACTTCATCCAGGAAATAGTCAGAACCAAACGCCACTCAGTCCAGGAGTTAGTCCGAGCCCAGCCTCATTTGGTCCACGACATGGGCCGTCCGGAGATCCACGAAACGTCCCGTTCTCAGGCCAAGATGGACGCCGCTAACTCCTCCCAGCTCCAGGAAGTAGCCAGGACCCGACCGGCTGTGGAGGAAAACCTGGGTGTGGAGGACGAGATGGAGGTGAGTTCAAGGCCACGTGTAATGAACTGTAAAAGGAGGCTTCAATGTGTGAGTGTCTGCATCTGTATGAGTCTAAGATGTTACGTTTACAGGAGGAAAGGTTTATCAAAGTTAAAGACACAATGTTTTAGTCCTGAATCTGTTTTAATACGATGATGTATTTTGTATTTATCTTAATAATCTATCCAAAAAATATCTTTATTTTTTCAGCGTATGGTTCATCTGGTGGTTCCTCAGGAGCCAGGAAGCTACAAGGGAGGCCCAGACTCCACTGATCCAGAGAGGGAGCTCCTCGCTGGGCCGGGAGCTGGAGATGCCTCCCTGGAGGCCTCAGGCTTCTATGGAACAGACATGGAGGACAGAGACAGAGGGGAGGAGGGAGGAGAGGACAGAGACAGAGGGGGAGAGGGAGGAGAGGACAGAGAGAGGAGAGGGGGAGAGGGGGAGTGGGAGAGAGACATGGGAGAGGACAAGGAGAGGAGAGGAGGAGAGGACAGAGGAAAGGAAGAAGAGAGGAGAGGAGGAACAGACGATGTCATCCACACAAGCCCAGATCTGGATGCTCTGATTGGTTAGTAGAAATGATCTGAATCTGATGACATCACATGATAAGAAAACCCTCAGGCAGCCACGTTAGCCCCGTTAGCCACGATAGCCTGAGTCACAAACCTAAAGGAAAATGTTTCATCTTTAAAGGCCACAGATGTTTACTGCTCTTCTTCTTCTTTGCTGGACAAACCAAAAGTGGCCAACAGTAGCCTGGAGATATTGGAAACAAAATAAAAGTTCCTGTCCTACTATATGATGGAACGTGGTTCATGGTATTCAGTCCTCAGGTGTATTCAGTCCTCAGCTGTATTCAGTCCTCAGCTGTATTTAGTCCTCAGGTGTATTCAGTCCT